TTGGCGGCCGCCGTGATGGATCTAGGACCGAACGGAACAGGCTCTGAGCGGCGCGGCTGGGCGTTGCGCTAGGGCCGGCAAGCCATGCTACAGCTACGTAGCAACAATAACAGCAACGACGCAAGAACTTCTGGCAGTAACGGAAAAATAGGTAAGCGTTGCTGACGAAATCAGGAAAAATCACGTCGCTAAGATGTTGCAACAACAGATGCCATGCTGGAATAATGCAGTGTTTGGCAAATGGGTAACTTGGGCCAGTCTGACTAACTAGTAGATGGTATTAACAATCGAAACAATGATCTAAGTACAATCAATTACAGATCTGTATAGAACCTGATTTTCGAAGTAATGCTTAGTAATCTTCTATCTTCTGAAACTAATTTATGTTTGTAGCAACGCAAACTATTCATTTTTAAACTTCATTGATGTTAGAAATCTTTACTTTTAAATTCGACAGGAGTTCTCTTAAACCCTTATTAATTATACCTATATTACAGCGATAAAAACTCTCAAACAGGACAAAACGCAAACTCATCAAAAAATATGGATGCGGTCACAGACGTTTGCGCCATTGTTTGTCTTCCTCTGGCTTTTGTTGGAACAATGCTCTCAACGTGAGCGTACTAGGTATGCCACCAATTCGTTGCCTGTTACGGACGAAAGGACTGGAACTGAAGAACTCTTGCACCGATGCAGAGCATCCTATCGTCTTTTCCCTTTCAAGTCCTGCTTTTCAACTGTTTGCAGCCGTTAAGGTTAAACTCTCATTAGCAACGTACACGCGATACCACGAATAGGACCAACCGAGAATCTGTTGGCCATCGATTAAGAGAAATTGAGAAAGAGAACAACATGACCTGTACGTCAAGGCTTGAGGTGCCAGCATAGAGGCACCCGTAATTCGTCGTGTTGAGTTTACAGCAAGCCGGTCGGGCCTTCTGACGAAATATCTAGTCCGATCGCTGACTGAGAGACTGGCTGGTTGAGGAACCCAGGATGCATACGTCGTCTCAATAGGACAGCAACTTTGTTGGTAACAACAACGGTAAGAACAGTAGCGATGCTTAGAAAAAAGGCAACAAATAGTCGACGACTCCTAGGACGAACAGGCTTCGTTCTTCAGCCGTAGCTGTCAATGAATGCTTTGATTTACTAACTGTAACATTATAACCGCTTTACACGCTACACCGACCAGGGGCGTAGACGAGTGTCCAGAAACAGATTCGGCTTTCGGCCGGAGCATGAAGAATAACATAGAAGGACAGCGCGAGCCGGGCTGTAACACGCCGTTCGCACGAGAGGTTCCCGGTTTTCGGTTACCCTGCCAGTCTCCTTCTTTGTGTTTTTGTCTTACACAAAGAAAGTCATAGGAAGTGGATGTTCATGTGTGACACGTTTAGACTACCATTACTACCCCATTTGGAAATGCCGCTAGTTAGGGAGCTTGTGAGATTAATCTGGCACGGATCAAGGGATTACCTTGCCGATCAGCTGGTGCAGTAAGATCACTTTTCCGGACGGCACTCGGAGTATAGTTTCACAGATAAGAGCGTGTGTGTGTGTGTGTGTGTATGGAATATGAAGTCTGGTGCGATAAGGTGACGAGTTATTCGTGTTGTTTGTATTGGACAAATAATTTATTAGACGGACGCCAGATAAATCGAAAAGTTGAAACACACGCGTGCAGTTGTTTTTGTTATATTGTACTGAAACCAGCGCTGTGACATCGCACAAAATCATACTCCTATAGAAAGGTTCTTTGCTGAAACTCCACATAAAATTTGGTCTCCTTCAATGTAATACATATCATTATAGAATAATAGCAAGGTTTCTTGCTATCGTTCGATTTTTTTCATATGGTATTAAATAATTCCTTTCCTCGTCATAGCTAATGGACTCGTCTGACGTTAGATCAAGCATCGATAGCAAATGACACCAGCTCGAACGAGGTGCACAGCAAAACGCAATAGCGGGGATACCCAGGTCAGGGCAGCTCTAGTCAGCAAAAGAACTGCGTCTTGCTGGAATAGAAAAGGTAAGGAAATCATGATCAGCCTTAAAAAGATCTGAGGTAAAATGGAGACCACCAGCTATCGGGGAAAGGAAGTCAGCTATTATTACTCATGTTAGCTTTGTATGTACGTGGTTTGCGTATTTGTATGTGGCTATTAACGTAGGTGTAGAAACATTTGTGCTTTGGGCGATGGGCAAGTAGGATTCAAGAACTCGAGTGTTAGATTGATAACGGGGTCACCGCATAAATTTATGGAGTCACCGACGAACGTCACACCACCGATGATAAAGCCTGTGGCAAGCAAGGCCGTGCTGCTTGTTGCTAATAATACGAAAGCCCAAGCAATGACTCAGAGTTGACTCGAACGTGGTCAACCCCGTGCAGATTCAATCACAAGACATATGTAAAAGGAATGAATAGCAGGGGGCACTTTATAGGAGGATGAATGTGCACGAAGGACTGAACGTAAAAATGACATTCTTATAGGAGGCACTAGTCGATATTCGATTATGTTAGTGCTAACAACGTGGAAATAAATCAGTGGAAAACACTGTCAGCGTAAAATGGTATCCTAAACAAAATCTTAGTGTAACCGTTCGAAGCTATACGGGTCGGGGTGCCAAAGTAATGTGGTAGTCCGGGACAAAGAGCTTTGTGTTGCGAAACTGTGTGCATACGGAATAACGGTGTAGTTGATGCGTAGTTTGACCCCTTCTTATGCTGCGACGGCGAAGAGGCAGACCGCATGTTTAAAACCATAGGTGTCATAGGAACGCGATCCTCAGCTGAAACTTTAACTTGTCAAGTCTTATTAGAGTTATTAACATCAGCACGTTTGATCATCACGAATATTGCTACCCTTCTTACCTGTAATATATATAGGAAACGGGTCATGGTAAGTGAGAATATTGAATCTGCAGAAATAAAAAGTAAAAGAAATAAAAGAAAATATCTTAAATAATGCCCCATGCTGACTCCAACTACGCTATTTCAGCGATATAGAGAGATTTCGATTAATAAAAAGAGCAACGTTTGTACGATACGCAAGTTTTGTATCTGTATCAATGGACCAAAAGCCTATCTAACATAGCTATGATTAAGACTTGTTTCAGAAACTATCCAGCTACAAGTTGTATGTTTGCTACTGACATCATTTGTGATTTGCCTTAAAATGTATTATATTCCAGGCGTCGCTGGCCGCAGCCGTTCGTCCACTACACAGTGATTATAAATATAGTGAAATTCAAGCGAGCACAATCGTTGGACTCGTAGGTAGATTTAAAGATGATCGTATGTAGATGGATCTCGTAAGTTGTTTGCTCTCAAGTTACTGTCTCATGCTTTCCCGTTCCTTCTTAAAAAGGTTAATGTAAGATTTACTGCCGCTTTCCTGCACACGTAACTAGTGTAATATTAGTAGCACCTACATAGTGTTCGTAACTTTTTACGTTTGGCCGTTCTGGCTCCGTGCCTACCTAGAAAATCGAATCGACAGTTACCGGGGCTGAGTTTTGTGGGTTTTGTGGACGTATAGTCCACAGTTGAGGTGGCACCAAAAAAAGGGGGCATAACAGACGGCAGGTTGATCGAGCGGCAAACGGAAATTACCTTTATGGCTTTCTAAACACGCCCATGACAGCCAGCCTGTCGTCCAGCCGTTGGCCGGCTAATCAGCGAACCTAATGAGAACGCTAATAGATGAAAGTGTATTTTTCACACGACTTCTGGTAGACAAGCTCCCCTTTGCCGCCGCTCTTGGTCACCGTTAGTATTATCGTTATTTGGCATTTCTAAAAACAACGGCGACCTGAAAAGCGACCAGTAAGTTGTTTGGCTGAGCAAAAGAAGGCTGCCCATCCCTCAGGTAGACAGGGCATGTTTGGTCCACCGAAAGCAGACTAACTACCAGTAACGCAATAACACTTAGTCTACGATAAGTGCATGAAAATACCATTGATCATTTCATTACATAGGATAAATAAAAAGTCACTGCGTAATCTGTCTGGGACAAGTTAATGCAAATTTTCTGTGGATCATTAATCACTTGAACTTCGCTATATATAGGATACTTTTAAGCGCATACATAAACTGTCCTCTTTATTTGTCAAGGTTGGCTCGCAACGGCGATAAGAATGGCAAGGGCAATCGAATTAGAGTGAATAACATTGTATATATCATACAATAAGCTATTGCGTCACACTTTACCATCGTTACGTTTCAACACGGCAGTATATTCTAAATACGTATTACGACATCTATTCATCAAACATGGCAATTTAGGAGAAAACGTTCTCATCATTACTTTCGACAACGTTGACGTAAGCTAGTTGAACGAAATCATTATAATTATAGACGTTACTGTCATTTTGCGAAAGTTCGCCACGTCTACTGAATGTACAAGATCATTAGCGATAAGTTAATGCAAGTAAATATAATCTGTTCATTGCGGTGGGCGAACCACCAAACTGTATTCGGCAATCGGCGGCAGTCTACGCAGTATTTTTCGGTAAAGAACGGCCCACGGCTCTGAGCAAACCTTTCTACCGCTTTAAGCAAACGAGCGAGGATCACGTAGCTCCAACCAACCTTTTGTCGAGCAGTGGCCACACAGCTCCCCTATGTCGTCTAGGTTGTGGAAAGCAAATCAGAGAAATGTATATTTTTAGCAGCAAATACCTTTCGTTTTCTGCGTTTGCCTTGCTTGCCTGTCATACAGTGGACACCATGGAAACATCGCGACCGCCACCACCTAGGCTACTCTCTCCCTTGAGAAAATACAGAGCCTAGAGTGTGTCCTGCCCTATCCAAATTCTTATTTTCTCTTTGGATGATTGCCTTCTTTTGCCGTCGTTGCTACCGATTGGTTGCAGTAGTCCTGAAATCTCATTTCCACATCGCCCTTATATGTGTCTAAATAGTCTATCTATTACGGAGCGGAGTTAGTGGTTTGAGCAGTTATCTATGATCGTGGCGTTCTTCATTCCAGAGACCCGCGTCTCCGTTCCCGTTTGGCCGGATCTTTCAGGCAGTATCCAACAAAGGAGGCCCAAGCAGGGTTGTACCAGGCTGCGCTGATATCTACCTGCAACAAAAGTGAGACTGGAGTCCACCGACCGGAGAAATCAACTGGGACGGGATGTACCTTCATTGTATAATGAACGTCTTGCGTGCGGATTCTTTTCCACTGCGGCCATCGTACTCTTATCCAGAACCAAATACAGAACGATGATGGTTGTAAGCTCGACAGCCGTTTGAAGCCCGCTACCGGTGCAGACAAGGGGCGATACAAAAAAAATAGATGGATATTGCAGCAAAGAAACATTCTTGTGTGCGTCCTTCGTCCCACGACGCTTCAATTGGTCAGTAAACGAATACAGCAGCGGCAGGAATTAGTACACGATGGTAGACGTAATAGGTTCGCCTAGTAATACTGCACTACCTGTCATGCTTAGCAGTCTGGTGTTAGGGACGGGATAGATACGCATAACGATTTGCACACGACACATCTTTATAGAAATTTCTCTTTTCAACAGAACAAGTATCACGCACTAGGCCACGTGCGACAAAAAAATATAGTTAGAAAGAAATATGTTGTGCCAATTATACTTTCTGTCATAGCAATAACAATAATTTCTGTCACTAGAACTACAAATAGCGGCATTCTAATAGCTGTTAACACAATATTAGCATTTATAATGTGCGTAATTATAACTATGGTTTTGACGATAGCGATTAGACGTAACTTTTCAAAATTCGCGCGCTGCTTTCTTTTTGTTTATGTTTAAATACATTCAGAATCAAAAATTAACGCGGGTTTCGTTAGTTACTTGAACGTTCGATGAGCCCACAGGGTGCGAGAGGATTGACGTACGTGTATTTAAATTTGAAGTGACGCCAATCGTACCCTTTTGACATCTATATATGTTCGTTAGGATCACTTTTATGTAAACAAGGCTGATAAACTTTGTCGAGAATTAATTTTCTTTTCAGTTGTCGTTTTTCACTCTACTTTGATGAGCGCAACTGCTAGAGTCCAGAACCCTTCGTGGTGTGTCCTTTGGAAATTGTATCTATCTATCTATTTATGCCCGTAGATAGTATTTAGCATTTGCTACTTTCGCGTTTGAGCGTTTTCACTCAGTCATCAATCTTTGCCTACCTTGCCGTCATCTTTATTTAGCTTTAAGGGAAAATGAGCAGCAGCTAGTGCCCGAAATAAGAACTCGGAGCAGACTTGATTGGACACGAATAGTTTTTATTTTTCCCTTGACTTACTGGGATTCCTATCTGCTTATTTCTGTTAGCTCCCTCGACCTTCTCGAGCAATCCGGCTCAGCTGCCCGGAACAGCTTCAGCAGTAGGAGGAGCATATTCGCGGTAATCAGAGCAGGTGACAGCAGGTTACCGTTCGACCATCACAAGCTTTGGTGGCGGACGCAACCTCTGGCTACTGCGTGGTCCCGCGGCCAGCGGGCCTTTGATCAGTCGAGTGGATTGCCCATTTCGACGTTTTTTCAGTATACTTTTTCCATGTCTCTTTGCTTCGGTGCGCTTCGCTCGTCTTGGCCATTCTGCCTCGGCGTTCGTTGTCTGCTCCTCGTGTCCGGTACTACTCGGTGCCTTCGAAGCTCCTAGTCTCTTTTTGGGAGGCCTTTACGCGTGTCCGCTTTCCGTCTTCCCACCAAAGACTTCTATCAGCGGTCTTTCAACGGTGGTGTTATTTTTGCAGTTAATGTCAGCTACAACTGCCAAAATCAATTCACTCTAAGAGACACAAACGGACTAACACGCATTGACTCGGTCGACAAGCGTTTCGAAACAAGTCAGGCTCGCAGGATAATATAGAGTATTCAGCAGACTTAACCTATGTCACAGCATAGAAGAAACGGGGGCTGCTGCCATGTACTGTATGAAAGACAAGTATAAGGCAGGCCGTAGAGGCAGCATTGGCTGCGTTCACCAGCAGATGCATCCGCACGGCGCTAACATCCACAGCAGGGAAGTGTCAATAAGTGCTTTTCATGTGCTTCTTGCTGTTGATGTTCGCTGTGCACTCGATATAATGGGCTGTGGCGGCTCATGGCGGTGTACGTATGTGTGCACATCCATATAGGCAACAGTATGGCTGAGATCATAAGGCCGGCCCCAGCAATACAGGATGTTGTATCATGTCGCGACTGATACACTGGAGCTGTAGATATAAAGCGAGATTGCTAGCTTGTGGAATCGAAAAAATAGATTTGTACGCTGCTTATATGGGAGAAGGGACGCTGTACGCTACGTGTGGTCGTGGCTGCGAGCAGGCTAGACTCGCGGCCCAATAGGGCAAAGCGTGTAGCCTGAAGAGCGGGATGAACAGGGGTTGGTCAGTCAGTGACTCGGCAATAACGTTGAGACGTCGGATCCTGCTGTTGCTTCTCACAGGTTAGGCATTGTGTGGGTTGTGCTCTGTTGGGGGTTGAAGTAGCGGTGGCCACTAGTGAGAAAATCGCAGAAAACATGGCGAACGGTGGAATTGTGCTGACTTCGGTTGAGTGTCTGAAAGAGTAGCAGTGAACAGTATGAGAGGAGTGAGTAAGCGACCGACGCGGTTCGGCGGAATGGCCGTAGACGGTGGCTGGCGGTGTATTGACACAAAAATATTCATAAAAGTCGGATTACCCTCGTTTGGGGAGCTTTCCTTCCCAAGCGCAATGCACGGATCCGGTCGTCCAGCAATTGCTCGCTCCTCTCGAAAGTACTCAGCCTCTTAGAAAGGTGGCGGCAACCGATTCAGCACCGGCAAGGCGCAAACTAAGGCGACGGTGCGAAGTGTCGGCGTAGCTATTCGAAACAACGTTTCGAGTATCTCCACGCCGACTAGGTTTTTCCATTCTCTCCTTAGCCCCTCTTTCGTTCTCACCTCCTCTCTCAGCCTCGCTGCATCTATCTCGACTAGGGACAGCCAGGGAACTTTGCCGGAGCCGGCACGAACCACTGTCACAGCTTCTACTGAAAGCTGGTTGGCTTCGAAGTCGCGAGCAGCGTCGGCTGCAGTGCGAGTACCAAGCACAATTTCGCCGTGACTTTCATCCCTTTCATTCTTATGCGCTTCCGCTTTCAAGGAGAGGGGGGGGGGGGGTAGTGCGAGCTCAAGTGTCCATGAAGGGGCACAATATTTCCAGATTATCCAGCCCGCACTGAATTCCCTACTCTCACTTGCCTTGTCATCGCTAACCACCGCCAGCCGGAGCCATTCGCGGCAGTCACCCACGACCTGGCGAACTCCGGAGTCTTAGGGTACTTCGTGCTCTCACGGCGTACTGAACACACTAGGCAGTTTAGACGGGCTAGGAAGCTGAGTAGCCTTAGTTAGTACTTGCAGCTCTATCTCACCTGAATTTTTCCACGTTACTCTGTATCTATGCTGCAGGAGGCGACTGCTCCGATCCCTTTCTTCTTCCGCTCCCTTTCTTCCGCCCTACTGCCAACAAGAGCCCACTGTAACCATTGACGGTGTCCGAGCCAGAAGGGTCCAATCAGCACCGGAACCGAAGTGTGTTTGAATCGTAACAAGGCGCAGGCGGTGGCTAGTTGATGCCACCGGTTTGAAGGAGTTTCAGTTCCTGTGCCCAACACACACAGGGTCAGAGAGCTTCAGACGGTAAATTGGATTACAATTTGCCATTGCATCCATACACATTCATATATATTATATTTCGACATATAAGTACACAGCATTCAAAAGGGTAAATTGAGCCTAACAGTAGCTATAGTTCGACCCGCGATCATGTGAGCTTTAGATACAACTTCTAACAACGTAGTAGGGATTGTTTCTTTGGCAAGGGCATGATTCGACTGACCTGAGTCAGATAATGTTCATATACTCTTTTTATTGCTTGAAAATTAAAACGGACGCTTTCGACATTTTCTTAAAGGCGCGTCTAAGCATTAGCTCGACAAGGATGTTTGCTGTTTTGCTGATTGTCGATATATCTTTGTCGGTCAAACGCTCACTACAGTTGAAATAATGTCGCTTCGATTTGAGATGTTGGGTTAAAATTTAAAAAATAAGTATACTGAATGCTATAAAGTAAAAAAAAAAAAAAACATAAAAATCCAAAAAAAAGCTGCTAAAATAGAAATATCACACGTGTGACGGGTTGCCCATTAATGAGAATTCCGATCGATAGTGCTCCGCTAGAATCAAAGGTAACATTGTAGATCCAAAAAATGTATTGCACTCGTATTATTAGATGATCCCATGTCCTGCAATTATAGCGTGCTTACCACCCGTTGCTGGATAAACTTGCTGGATTGCTTTCATCGTTCTTTAGCATTGGCTTCCCAAACTCGTCCCATTTCTATCCGTCCATCTGACATATTGATCTGTTGACTTCCAATCAAAATGACGAGATGTTGTGCCGGCAATAAATTGATGAGAATAGTACTTAATACCTGAACATCAGCTGATTCATATGATATGTTGGTCCGTCTTTCAGGCAATATCTAATACCAGTGATGTATTGATGATCAACGTTGCCAAGCGCTCGAAGCTCTCAATACACTCAGCCGACTACGGTTTTCCAGACATGAGCATCGTATTTAATTCGAGTATTTTTCACTGCAAGTATCTTCACTACTCTACGTATTGGCCATTCGTCCGTTTACCAACTAAAGCAACTCAACAGGACCTTATAGAGCGGAAGACTCGTGTTGCATAAAATTAACGTTATTTATAGGACAAACATATCTTGCAGCACTGTGTAGGACAGGGTGACGATGTGTTGAGTGGTCTCCGCGGCGCTCGTGATAGACCCACCCAAATCGCTACAAGCACCGAGTCATGCTGCTCATCAGATCGTAACTGTTAGTATCCAAACAGTCAAGGGGAAATTTGCAGACTGTGAACTCTATCGGCATTTTGGCCGTTCACACAGTACTCAATTACTAAAATAAAGTCTGTAATAATTGTAAAAATCTGTTATCTGCATATGATGATTTTCTTTTAAGCAGACTAGTTTTTGCCCGAAACGGCACAGCAAGTCGTCAGTGACATAAATCCAATACCCCACAGTCTTGATTCAATAGGCTATTGTGTATAGAAAAAAAGAGCATTAGCCCGCATTGAGCGCACTGATTATGTGGATACAGAATACAGCCCCGTTAGCGGTTCAACCTGCACACATAGACGCGAAAGCGCCCTGTTTTCTTCAACGTTAATATTTCGGTAACGTCTGAGGAAGATCTCATGGGTTCTGTGGCAGACCCCTAAATAAAAACATAAGATAACTACTACACACGGATGTAATGCTAACGCGTCGTTTTTTTTCTATCAGAAAAGAATAATTTTCTCTATCTGTGAAATCTATCAGCAGAAGGAATGCCTTTAAATTTTAGTGGCTGTAGCGAATTAAGTTATATGATCTAAGCTCTGAAACCACCTTGGACTTCCACGTAACGTACGTTAATGTATTCTCCACTATCTTAATAGAGAATCTCTAGTGTTTACCAGCTTGCGCACGTTATACAAAGAAAAAAATCAAACCACATGCTTTCATTCACATATAAGGAGACAGAATATGTATGTGTAAATACTTGTCTTCCCGAAAAGGCCCACTCTGTTTGCTGTTTTGTGGGCCGCAATCGAAAAGCCTCGATCGTTTTCGCTCTGCTGTTTTCCACCGGTGAGCGAAGCTTTCATGATATCGTCTGCTCAAACGCAGTCATGCCTTGCAACTTCGAAAACACTTTCTCACATCCTCTTTCACAGGTCATGAAATCGAAAAGATGGAGTTGCCCAGCCTCAAAACTTCCAACCTTCAAGGTTACAGAGGAGGATAAAGGCAATAATCTTCTCTAGAGCATGATATACGTCCATCCAGACTTACCTGGTTGAACCTATGTTTTCCTCTCTGGTACCGGGGCTTTAAATGAAAAAGACAGGCGGGAGCGAAATGTGAAAATTTCGCGGTGGTCGGGGTGAAGCCAACTTAAGGGGGCGACATTCACTCATTGTCAGGTCGTCGGTACCCGATTGGCCCGGCCTGAAACATTATTTTCAATTCAAAAAGTCAACGATTGACCCCGATGCCTTTAGGCCGTAGCCAAGTGGTCGTAAGAGCAGGGATATGTCCAGACGTCGACTGCGATGTTCACATGTATTCATTTCTTGCATTCGAGCGAATAAGCGAAACGGAGGGTACCACGATGGAAAACGACGAGAAGGAACGTCGGTTTCTCGATGTATGACGACGAGCCAAAACGAGAGGTTGAAGTTCTCGGAAACCCTTCTGTTTTTTGAGCTTCCACTGGGTCATGCTATAATAGACAATGTCGGAGCAGTGTATTGTACGATGGCTGCAGGCCACACTTGTCTAGAAAAGGAATAAACGAAGGTAGTAAACAATCAAGTGGTAGAAAGGTTGGTTGCTGTGTATTATATTTCATTGTTGTCACTTTTGGGCTGGGACGAACAATCATGAAAGTACACGCTCCTACAACAACAATATATATTTATAGTATATCAACAAACTGATGACTAGGTTATATGATAATAGACGTCTTACTTACCAAACTTCTTGATAGGTCCAGCTGGGAGATAGAAAGCACGCCCTTGATGTTGGTAGGAAGACGGAATTTACGAATTATTTTCTCGCGTTGTTAGTAATCTATTCTTTTTATCATTATTTACTCGTAAGGTGTGAAGTAGAAACGAAGCTTGAAGTTTTAATAAGCCCATAAAAATATTCCATATAAAATTCCAGTTTCAATCTAAACCTACCAAACTAAGTTTGTCGAACTAACACTTTAAACATACATCGCGTTTACCCTCGTCTGAGATATTTTTTATCAAAAATTTTAATACGATACAATTTAACGATTCAGTTACATTTTGTACTAGATAAATATTTTGTTTTCGATTTCTACTGCGTATACATTTGGCAAAATTTCTATGAACGATTTTGTGATCTCAAGCTTCCTGCTGATGGCCAACGAAAGGGAGGGTAAGCCAAAAACGTGTAAATCACCACGTTTAATTCATTCATCAGCCAAATGAATCGGTAGGTTCTGTTTTTAACGAAATGTTACGATGCGCACTCTGTCACGTCTACGTCGGCGTGCTCAGTTATGCATGTACAGCGGGATTGCTGCTGATTTACCCGGGGCGGCACCTCGTCCGCTTTCGAGCTTCTAACCTATTTGCTTTTTTATGCAGACTTTTTTTTCAAGTTGCTAAGCTGACTGAGATAGTGAGAGGGGGCTCCACTGGTGTTATATAGCAGAAAGGAATAGTATGGGGTGCAAATGAAGCTTCAACGATAGGTGTATAGGTAAGCGACCCGTGTTGGCGTTGCCCAGCTGCTCAGATGGTGAGAGTAGCGCAAAAGCAGATTGGAGCTTATTTCGCCAGGGAAACAACTGCCCTTCACAAACGGTAGCCGCCTCACGCTGTAGCAATAGCTCGCTGGCTAAATCATATTGGATGCTAAACGTTAACGCGTACTCGGGTGCCTTCGGTGGACAAAAACGATGTTCTTGCCATAGCGCGACTGGTGTGAGATTTAAGTTTGGCTTGATTTGCCCATACAAACTATTCCATGCATTGTACTATTACTACGATTCAAATAGTAAAAAAGCTGGTGTCGCCGATGCCATGGGACTAGATCAAAGCCACTGGGGAATTAGGGGATTCCTAATCATCGCCGTAGGTATAATCCACTGGTAACGTTTCCCGCGGTTCCCAGAGAAGTGCTCCCAGTTGTAAGCTGACAGACGAGTTGTTATTTATAGGGCGTGGTCGGAAAACAGGGATTGCGACGCAAGAGGTTACCGAGCATAGTTAGCGAGATAAGTTCTACACGATAGCATATGGCAACAACGGGTCAGGGAAAAGCGGCGAACGAATTTGGTATCTGCTAGAGGAAAAACTAAACTCAGCAGCGATCTTAATCACGCAGAGTTCAGAGAGAACACCGCATCGGCCTGGGCGAAACAACGTTGATGAAATCTTGAAGCAACAACGATAGCAGTACAACAGAAGTAGTGCTTATCAGACAAAAACCGCTATACAAAGAAGTGTACTAATTGTAGCACAAGTGAGTTTAGATTGGGAGGGAAGATCCTGGTGGAGGCGAGGAACAAATACAAAGAAAAGACGCAGAAGGCTAAAAGCGAAACAAGAAGAACAATACATGAGAGAAGGTATGGACCGTGGGCTATGGCGACGGTAAAAGCAACAGCAGCTCTTATAATTAGAATTTAGATACATTTTAATATAGGGTACTTTTATAGTTTATGACCCACTTTGGTTCATAAAAATAAAACGTTATATTACGATGTCGTAGAAGTTCGACTAAAAGGTCAGTTTTAGCAAGTTTACTGAAAACTTATATGATGACAATATTATATTCGGGTGTCAGTAACGGCAATTTCTTACCTAACAAAAACACCGCAGTTAACTTCTAAGCTTACTACAAAAATAGTTTACTATACATCATCACTTCTTAATGATCTTCTGCCATCTTTCAACCAATTTATGCACTCCAAATGCTGCGCCAAAAGTTTTTCAATTTGGTGCTCTAGAACTTATCCAGCCAATTTCTCAAAAGCCTGCTCATTGTTTAAATTATTCTTATGAGTTTTATCAATAATAGCGAAAGGTAGAAATAAGCGGGAGATTCAGAAAAAATGGTGGCTATAAAAGAACCTCTTACACAAGTTCCTCTAGAGCGGTTATAATAGCCTGCCTCTATTATGGGTTTTTTTTTCTGCGATTTATTTAGTGCAACTTCGGTTGACCGTCTTATTGTTATGAGGTATTTTTTTTTGTACAAGATTCTTCTAATTCTAAAAAAATGAAAATCGTTACCGTTATAGAATTAAGATATGACTTAACACTGGAATCCGTTTTTTACTGCGCTGCATAATAAGTAGAATAATTATGATAATAGAAACCTGTCATTGTAGAAACCTGTGTATTGTTCACTTGCCATATGCTGAAGGACAAATAAAAGCGGTGTTTCTCGGCGCTTTTCACTCGGTTTGGGGAGCACTCAAGCTCTTTGTGTTTGAGAAAACCCTATAGATATAAGGTGCCTAATTGTCCCAGACCTTTTTGGGCAACTTCTTGATCTTAGCAAAAAGTGAAATAAGTTAGATGTCGGAGGTGGACTTTTTATTTTATCAGAAAAGGCTTTTGAAGCCTAAACTTGAGAAACGCTTTTTTCCGCCTACCAACGTTATAACGGACTTGAACGAATAGTGGCCACTCCCTAACAGTTTAGAAATAACCGAACAGTAGAGCGGCAAAAGGAGCAAGGAACATTTGAAAAAGTCCCACCGTTATTTATATTTTTACATCAAATAGATGTATGCAGCTGATTAGGAAAAGTTGAATTCGAACAGGCAGCTTATTTACTTTTTGTGGTCTTTCCTATATATATATATATATACACACGTTTGTCTAATACACGGAATGATTACTCACTCTGTTTTCGCATGTATTTGAGAACAACGAGTGTAAAACGACATTTTGTTGATTCAAGAAGCATCTAATGTAGTTCAATTTTCTTCTAATATTTACCGTTAGCGAGATATTAATTTATTAAAACTGCTATTTTTATCTTAATTTTGAAAATATTAAAAAATGCTTAAGATTTCGAAAAAAGTGTTAGTAATTTACCGCAAATTTAACAAATATCATTTTAGTATTGTTGAAATCCAAAGACTGACCAAGAGATTAAATTAAAAAAAGTGTCTTCTTCAAAAAATAGGTTGAGATGATCAAAATAAGTTATTTTAATAGACATGTTTAGTTAAGTGTGCCGAGAACTACTGGATAGGATTGTAGCGAAAGTTTTATGATGAACATAAGTTATGATACTCGAATATTGCCCACAAAAATTAAAAAAAAACTTTCAATTGCGTAGAACAAGCGCTGATAAATGAACGGTTGTATAGAACTGAATGGGTTTTACAACATTAAGTACCAAATGCTTATTAAGTGTCTTAATTGTTTTATTTTTCTAAACAGTGAGAGCATACTCAACCACTGTATTTATCGCCTTTTCGGTTGACCAATTGTGATGCTTGACTGATTTGACCAACGCTTTCGTGAAATTAAGCCCCAACAATTCTTAAGGTCTTAGCAGAACCCTGTCTTCCAGCTAATCTTCAGAGGCCATAATAGACCTGGGTTTTCATCTGTGTCAAACATTAACGCTATGTTTGTGATAGATTTTTGTCGGACATTTTTCCTAAAGCTACGCTGCCACACTCTGTGTGAAACAGACGACCGCTTGTTGTAGTACTCAACGCAGTAGAAATACCTAGGGCCACAGCTAGAGCTACTAGTTTTTTTCTAGTCAACTCTATATAAGAGTTTTTAGACGTCGTTTACAGAACGGCGTCCAAAGGCTTTGGCAGTAATAAAGCTGTCCTGCCTCCTGTTTTGGTGCTGCTGACCTGCAGGCTATTCGTGCTGCTTCTGATTCGGATACCGCTACTGACACGACGGAATGAGATATTTTATGAAGCAGATAAATTTAAACAGGGCTGCCTCTACCACAGTAAGTCAGTCAGTCAGTGGGAACACCAAGAGCGATGATGCTGACCCTTTACTGGCAGCGCTAGCGGCGGGGAAGCAATTCTATAAGCAGCAGTGAAGACTGACTATATTTTCCTACCACGTTGTGTACCCTTCATTCTTTATCTTCACTCGATCTCGTCGCGTTCTCGATGTTGCGGTTTCAAGCTCTCCGAGTTTGCGGTTAGCGCTACACGCAACGCCACGTGCATCGCCTCTTGATGGGCAATAGGCAGAAAGAGAAGGCGTTTAATGGCGACCTCAGTAGGAGTCTCGAATCGAATAGGCTCAATTTAGCCGAATGGCTTTATAGGTGCCTTGGCTGTTGTTGCTGGTCTGCGTTAGCGATCTGGTGGTACCAGCGGTGCAAATGGCAATAGCACAAGACACTGGTCTTGCCAAACGCTATGACAGTGCCGTTACAACGATACCTCGTCCGTCTAGCTTCACCCGCATCGGTCAGTATACATCGATCGATCTATCTTTCGCCTATTTTTACAATGAAGATCAAAAGGGAGAATGCCCAGCATAAAGTTTACAATGGACGAATCTAAATGAGAGGCAGCACCAATGGCGATATATAAAAATTGGTCTTTCCGTATAACTAACCAAAAGCTTGTGGTCTCTCTTACGACGTCAACCAGGTCCCTCGGACACGGTAAGGCCGAGTATCTGAGGCATGATTTAGGACCGCTCTCTCAACGAAAGCCGCCGGTTCTTTTGATTATGACGAGTAGCCCCTGAATCAGGACTTGGTAGTGGCCATCGCCGAATGGCCAGCCTTCAGGCCAAAGCCTGAAATTTCGATTATGTATATCTTTTTAAGATATATATCTACGTATGAAGCCACCTTTGACATGGTCATTGTTGATACCAAGAGTGCGCTATCGACTGCCGCGTTTCTTCGATATAAGCGCGCTGTTTTTGCTCGTCATATTTAAACGCTTTGATTGTGCATATTTTGTATAGAACAAACTGCTGTGAACCGTTTCATTGATACGTATCGACACTTCGCTTCCTTCTAGAGAATGAGATGAAATAGGGAGACTCAGGAAATATTCTGGGAAAATTATGATATGTTAGCGACATAGAAAAAATCGAACGGACGCAATGAAAGATTCGACTGTCAGCAAGGTTATTAGTCCCATTAAATTACCGCTAATTGTATTTGGTATACACTACTAGTACTACCACTACAAATTCTATTATTGCGTGCGAGTCATTGTTTTAAAGTAGATTTTACCCGGATTATTCCGTAATAGGGTGACACAGAAAAAGTATGTTTTTTTTTTACGTATAACATGCTAGTTTAACGTGTGCCACTTCTGAAATTGAAAACAGTAGCGATGAGGGTTCTATAGCTCTGGGTTACGATTGTAATCAAGTCTTGGAAGCAGATCACGAGCGAAGCCAACCCGCGCCAGCTTGTATATATCGTTGAGACAACAAACAAAGCTGTTCAATCCTTTCGGGAACGAACTAGAAGTCCACGTAAATTTCTATTTCTGAATTAGTCCTGCATTCATTGTAGATTTTCGACTGGAATAACCGGATATCTTCGTTCAGAGCCTCTTGACGTGACTGTAACGTATGTAACGTGAAGTACGTTATTGCAAGAATAAGAATGAAGTGTAGAAGTAACTACATGAAGGAACTCACATATTTGCCATGAAAAAAGTACGTTTTAGTTTGCATATACGTACTAAGCTAAGACGATGAGGACCCGTCAGTGGCCTTGCAGGAAGAAAAGCCTCTCCTGATTTAATTTTTCGATCAGTGGTTTATATTTGACAGTAGGCGTAGACACGCTTCGTTTCGCAATGAGCAAGAACCAGCCATCAGAAGTGTTGCTTGACCGCACTGTCAGACATACAACTTCTAACATCGAGATACAGAACAACTCGTTCGTGCAGCTAAGATAATCATGTAGTCGATTTGAAGTCTAGCGTTCTTCGATCTATATGTGTTTAGCCTGCTGACTGATATTACGGCTCCACGATGAGGCTGTAAATAATGTCTGCATAATGGTAAGCGCCATTTTATTTCTAAAAGTGATAAAGGCGTCTGCCTAGTTCTATCGCTGGGTGTCAGGCATAGCTCGATAGTTGTTAACAGAGTATGTGATGTCCCGTACGTGCAACTGCCTTTTCATGTGGCTAATCAGTTAAACAATTTTCTTTATGCGGTAGTACCGTAAACAAAATATAAGTGCTAGCTTAGCTTTCTTGGAACAAATTCATCCCTGCTAACTGACAGAATAAAAACAAAAGACTATCTCTATACATTGCCTACGCAAAAATGTAACTTTAATAGAATTGTTTTCAGTACGCAACTTCGCTGTGTTTAATTA